AGTTGTATAACGAAACTCGACTTTAACCACTGGAACTCTCAAATCCATATGTATGTTTTCATTTCTGATACACCAGGGTCCACCAATTATCATTCTTAGAATCTGTGCTTGAACTCTTTGCAGAATTTCTACATTTGACGAACAAGCATTACCATATTACTTAAGCCATACATCCAGATTGGCTTAATAACTTGGTTGTACAACAAAACTTTGTACTCTAAACATAAGGTAGACTGATGAGTCCTTGAGTCATTTTTGTTTTAATATGTTTTCGCCAAATTAAACATTTGTCAATGTGAATACCAAGGTGCGTCCATGTTTCTGTTTGCTGAACTACGTTGAGAGTGATGGTTGGTGAGGAGGATATGTTAAGAGAGAATGTTATGTGACGACCTTCTTGCTTATTGACAATTTTGCTTATTAACAATTGTGGCATACTTATGTTGGCACAAAATAGCTGTATCGCCAGCAAATGTTGAGGTTACTAAATTGTTATTTGTGGGAATATCCGAAGTAAAGATGAGGTACAAGTATGAGCCAAGAACGCTGCCTTGTGAAACACCCCCACTTATTGGAAAGTCTTTAGTTGTCTGCGTCTTGTACTATACATTGAAAGATCTATCTATCAAGTATGATTGAAGTACTGCGTGTGAGTTTTGAGGGAGTATTTGTGGTATTTTGTGGATCAGGCCCTCATGCCATACTTTGTTGAACGTTTGTGCAACATCTAGAAAAACACCAGAGCATAATTCTCGATTTTCAAAAGCACTTCTTATTTTGTTAGTTAATCTGTTCATTTGTTCAATAGTTATTGACGAAATCCAAATTGATGGCTTGGAATCAGGTCTCGTTCTTGAAGAAAAGGTATAAGTTCTGCTAGGAACACTGTCTCAAACAATTTCTACTAGCTTGTCTATATGATCAAGCTAGTGTTGTATCACAACAAAAAATATATATTACAGCAATAAATATATATTACAACAATAATAAAACTAATATTTTTGTTTTAAAATTTATAGATAATTTTTACAACATTAAAGCATAATGTATAGTTCAAATGATCGCAAATATTTGAACTATCTATTAATCTATGGTTAAAAAGTGAATAATATAATACAGTAAACACAAAATATAAATAATATAATTTCGTGATTTTCAAATTAGCATAAAAAATCAAGTGTCGTCGTTTGTGGTACTTAAGACGGCAGACTGTTAGAATTGATAGACTATCGCATTAAGGCTTAAATATATCCATGTATTTTACTTATCAGGAGAGCACGTTCCCAAAAATTCTACACAGTTATTCAAAGCACACGCTTCAAATATCTCAATGAGTGATAAACAATTGCCCACGTATTATTTTAACCGCACAGAGATCTCACAGTAATCTGATAAAAACTTTTGGCAGTGGAGATCTTAAAGATCTGTGCCAATCTTCGCATGACCTTCCTGCATTTGCATAAATAACCATGGGACTTTTCTTAAGTAACCACAATTCCGGATGTCAAATAGCGGCTTTGAATGGGGACCCATAAACAAGGACTAACTGCTATTAACATTGACAACAAAACACTTTACCCTTCAGGGGAGCGCTTAAGCTTCATAATGCAAGAGCCTATAAACAATCGTCCGTTTGGAATTTCTCCTTGAACAGAACTCCTCCTCGTAGCACCTCGGAAAGTATACCAGGTGGTGACGCTGCCTCCTGTTCTTCTGCTAGCATCTCGATTAAAGCAAAAGTGCTAGCCAGTTCACCAGCAACCAGCACCAATCCCAATTCGGATGCCCGCTCACACCCTAACCGCTCGACAATGGCGTATAAGACGCGAAGGTCAGCTTATCGAATCCTTCTAAAGCTGAGCGCCGCTGATCCTTTGACACTCTCTGAAAGCGAAAACTTTAGGAGGGAGCGTTATGGAATATTTTCCACATAAACAGCTCCTATCTGAACCGTGGGCCAAGGAACCCCTCCGAAAAAGTTACCGGGGTTGCATATTTTGAACCGGTCTCTGATAACAGAACCGATGCTACTTCTGAAATCAATTTTCCCGATGGTGGAACTGTCATGAAGTCACCATCATTTCCTCTGAAGACGAGTGTAGTGTGATCTCATCTTCTGTATTGATTAATAAGCTTTCTTCAGGTATGGCGATGTCCCATGACCCCTCACCGATGTCGGACGAGGATGAGCTCTACAGCACCGCCGTCAAAAACACTTAGTCTGTTTGGCTAAGTCTGGCTGAAAAAGGGCAGGAAATTCTACTGATCTAAGAACCTTGAATTGTAAACGCAATTTTAGCTTGAAGATCTCGTATGAATATTACATATTAAGTTAATACAAAAATTGTGTTTTACTTCAGTTACAAAATTATCTCCACAATGGTGACCCACAACATAAAAAAAACTTTTTTTTAGAACTACATTGTTGTAAAATATTGATAATAAAAATAAGTTTCAGTTAATACAAATATTGTGTTTTACTTCGTTTGCAGAATTGTATCCATAGTATCATAAAATTCTGGTGATAGTCTGGTGAAATTTGAAGTTCTAAAACTAGGATCATGGATATCGGAAGTGTTCGGTGCTACAGATCAGTCTGTTGGGTAACACCACAGTATGGAATAATCCCAATGCTGATGACATTGCTATTGCTTTATCGAGGAAATATCCACAGATGTTATCCAATGTTCTAAACTCTGTACTGTTCATCATAACGGAATGGTGTGGGGTATTTGGTCTTGATATCAGTCCAGAAAATACGGATATTGTTTTCTTCACTAGAAAGTGCAAGATCCTTTCCTTCTTCAAGCCCTAGATAAAAGTCAATACGCTAGGTTTAAACGTAAAGATCAAATATTTGGGTTTTATTCTGATCTTTAAACCGTTTAGACCTCAACCGGGGGTTAGACTCTCCAACACCAAGCTGAGAAGACTAGATCTTTGACGAAGTGGTCTATCTTAATATGGTAGACAATTACACAGACGACTTCAAAATAGATAATCGATACGGTTGTGAAATATTCTCTAGAAAATCAGGTTTAAGCTTTTTGCTTCGATTTCAAATGGGTGTTCCCATTTGTCTGGTTAACTATAGTAAATGTGCTGTCTATGGTTACCATCGAACTGGCTGTTAAACGTTATTGCAACAATATCTGAAGGAACCTGGCAAAAAACTAATAAGTTTACACTATGAGCACCTTGGGTTAGACCACGAAAGATGATACGGTTTACATTGATCGAAATTTCAATTGGGAAAAATGTTGCTGAACCAGAATTGAATAATAAGGGTCATAAGACCAATATCTACACATATACCATAGATTAATACGGAGTGCGTCCTACAATTTGTTGAATAAAACTTCAAACTACTTGTAGTGATAAATTCCATTAGCGCATAACATGACACTTAGAAAGTTTAATGTTGCAGCTGTATGAGTACTCATACTCATAGAGCTGCAGAAAACGAAAGAGAAAAGATTGGGAAGAGTTCTGTTCGGTTGTTACATAAACAAAAAAAATGATATATGGTAGATAATATATCATTTTCTCTTAAAACTGCACAATAAAATTGATGATGATGGCAGGTAATAGTGTGATGAAATACATTGTGACCGAAAAGTTTTCGGGAAATTTTAAATAAAACGCAAAATTCTTAACCTTCATCAATATTTATTTTATCTCCTTCAAAATATGCTCCATTAGAAGCGATACACAAATGCCAATGTTTCTTCCAATCATCAAAACATTTTTTATAGGCGCTTTCCGGTATGGCTTTGAGTTCCCTCTGCGAATTCTGTTTTACGTCTTCTATGGATTCAAAACGCGTTCCTCTGAGTGGTAATTTGAGGTTGGGAAACAGGAAAAAGTCACACGGTGCAAGATCAGGTGAATACGGTGGCTGTTCGATGGTATTTATTGAATGTTTGGCCTTAAAATCGTTGATAATGTTGAACAAATTGAGGTGAATCGGAACAAGCCGGGCGTTGACACGTCGCATACACAAATTGTCCACCAAAATCAAACGAGCCATCTCACGACCGATGCCTAGCTCTCGTGCTATCTCTCTAACACTCACATGAGGATTTTTGAACACGATTTCCTTTGCCTTTTCAATGTTTTCGTCGGTGGTAGAGGTCGAAGGTCGTCCAGAACGCGGCATGTCTTCGACGGTCGTACGACAGTCCTGAAAGGCTTTGTACCACTCATAAACTTGAGTTTTCGATAAAACTGATTCCCCATAAGCCTTTTGTAGCATTCGCAACGATTCTGCACACGAAATTTCGTTCGAAAAACAAAATTTGATGCAAACTCTTTGTTCAATATTTTTTTCCATTGTTTTTTTCGCAACGCACTACTGAGGTGAACTGGTTTCAACAGCTGCCGTAAACGAACTGTCTGACAGATCGCGCTCATTTTTGGCATAGTAATTAAGGACAGTGCTGCCAAACTACATAAACTTAAAATATCGAAAAATATACAGCGCGCGAATTTTAAATGAGAATTTCCGAAAACCTTTCGGTCACAATGTAATTTGAACTGCTGTAAAACTGCAAAAGTCATTAGACATCAAAAATAAAAAATACACTCCATTTGTACAATCGTCTGGAGGAACTCAAAAAATTAACACCTATAAAATATGCAGGACATGCAGAGAGCTGAGAAATAAAGAGACTTTATATCATGTATGTTACAACCGGCGTATGATAGCCAGAATTTTTGCTTGTATATAAAATTTATTCAAAATTTGATTTTTAGCTGAATTTAGACAATCTTTAGCAGAAAACACCCATTTGCGCAAAATAGTTATTAAAAAAATAAGACTCAAATGCTATTAATTGTTTCAAAAAAAAAATCCTTAGTACGTTTAGTTCGAAAGTTATATTATGTATGCGTAAGACTAAATATATATGAAAGATATGATTTATATAATAAGAAAAGAATTTAGTTTTTATTCCAATCCATCAAATTTTCTCTTCATACTAATCCATGAACACGGCGAATTTTATTTATTTACTTCTCAAAACAATCGTATTACTCAGGTGGTAGTGGTATTTCTGTTGTTGCTTCTGTGGTCATTTCATCTTCTGTCATGTTTACTGGTTGTGCGGGCGGTGATTTATCAATGCCATGGAAACTGTAAAGTAAACTTATAAGCAGAAATTCAGTTAAATTATATTGAGTTTATTAACCATTCACTGTTTCCAAAGCCCATATTGTTAACTTCCATTGCATTGTATATAATGATGAAGAATACTACAAAAAGTATGATATAGTCGTGGTAAATGATCAAAGAAGCTAGTAAACTGTCAGTTAAGCGCATTTCAGCATATCGCCCACCATTTATGGTTTGCACATGGTAACACATATACTATAAAGAGACAATTCAATAAAGGTATAAATATCGCATAACTCAAAGAGTACCATTGTAGTTGTTACAATTACTACGCCTGAATATAGATACATTGCTGTTACATGTTCCAATGAAGCGTATAGCAAAACGCAAATAATGGACGTCATGAAGAATATTATGGACAACACAAAGAGAATCACTATGTCCAAAGTAACATCATGCTGAAAAAATATATAAGTTTGCTTATTATAAGTTAGTTATTCATTCGGAACTTACCTTCATATATGTTGCAACGCATATAAATGCAATCAAAAACAATATAGAAGCAATAGTAACCAGTCCGTAGTAAATGACATTTTTATCCAGCATTATAATCGCTAATCCAAAAGTAACGCACTCGACCTATAGAACATAAGGATGTTGACATTTGCTGTATTATACAAGTGCAAAGATCTTGCGACTTACGATAAAAAAGGCAAACATCCAGTTTACTAGCACAGTCATTCGCAGGGAATCGTTGAAGACGAAAAGAGTTATTAGTAGCAACGCACCTCCCAAAAAACCGAGTGAAATTGCGTAATTACCACGAAATATGTCACTTGCATCACAACTAAACAAAGAATTATTAATTTGGGATAAAGCATCTTAATGTTAGACTTACATTGTGACAAGAACAGCCCATTGAAATAATGTTAACAGCATGAACAGACCTGCTATTAAATAAACACACGTTTTGAACTTCCTTCTGTCGAAAGTTCCTTCATCCATTGTGGCACAGGTATGCTTTAAATTTATACGATTTATTCTACAAATGCAACGGAGGGAAAATTGCATAAGATTATTAAGAATAATAATGAATATATAATACTTCTCTAAATCAAATAGTAAATTTTTCAAATATATTCTTAAAGAAGTATTTAAAAAAATTCTAAGAAATTGAAGTTTAAATCAAATTTTAAAAATTAATATCTGTTGAAAGTAGTTTACAAGAACAGGTTTTTTTCTTTCAGAGCAGCAAAAAAATACTCGCAACTTAAGAAAGAAAAATGGGAAGTAACAACAATTCTCTTAAAATCTTCAGAGTTAGCCTTTACTCGCAAACATTTTTACGTCCTGAGTTTCAGTGCAGTTCTATTAGAACTATATTCATTTTGTTTTCTTTTATTTAAATTAATTGATTTAGAGTCCTTTTGAATTTTTGAATTTCACACAACAAAAAACATAAAGCATTTAACATATTTTAAAGTTGATGCGAATTTTTTTCAACCAGACTTAATGTTGTTTTTTATCAGCTCTGAAATAAGCTACCTTAGGCGTTTGCGAAACCCCGGGATTTTGCTTTCTTTTATCTGTTCCATTTGTTAACATTTAAACGGACACTTCAATCTTCGAATTCAAAACAAGTAAAGCATGAATCTTGCTTACATATAAATTTAGTGGCCCATGTGGGGAAGTCTAAAGATTGCAATACTGTTTTTAAATAAGTTTTAAATAAGAAGAAAATTGGATTTGTGAAGTTTTAGTAACCAGCAGTACTAGCTTTACTTTGCTACTAGGCTTTACAACTTGGGATTTAAGAAAGCCCTACTGAGAAGTATTCTGCGTTATACGAGACGGCTTTAATAGATTGTTTTCTGAACCACAACCACTATCAAGAGACGTAACGATAGTGGAATCAACACACCATGTGAAACTCCCTCAATTTCCAGTGTCCACCTACTATGGACAGTTTACCGATCGGCACTGTATGATGCGTTTGATAGTTTGATCAATTAAACTGAAGACTTCAGTTTCGTTAAAAAATTTTTGACTTTTTTCATAAAAAGAAGGCTTTAACGAGTGGAAGTGACTTATATAACCACCAAATGGATTTAAATAAAAAAACTTTACTTGATTACATAGGTATTAATGATGAAAAAATCCAATAACCCTCGCGTCGTGTTTACTTACAATATAAATGGTAGTAACGCTACCATTTCTACCTTTATAACATTGACAGTCCTTCTAAATATTTTGCTTCTCTAAAAAGGCGTCATTCTCAACAATTTTTATCCGAAGATTGTTTCGAGTGAAAATCCATTAGAACTCAAAAGATTTCATGTTTAAATTGTTTAAGCAGATCCCATATAGCTTTTTATGACAGTTTTTTTTTAAGTACCAGAAACTGGGCAGCGTAATACACTTCTGTATTTTCCTTGTTTAGTTAAAAATCGTGAAATCAGTTACTACTGTTGGCATCCCCTTACACAACGCGTTCTACGATGCTAATGAACAAGATTCGAATATTTCATCACCAAGCGCTTACAACGGCAAACAAGTTTACAGAACAATCACCTGATCATCAACTGACTGGTTACACGGTTAGCGAACACCATCAAGTACATCTGGCTACAGTTCTTGTTTCGAGGAAAACCTGCCTTACTGATCACTCTGCCATTCTTTGCACTTCAAGCGATCAAGGATCTGAATATGTCATCCAACCCACACTGAAATAGTTTGCGTTGGTCGAAATCCAATCTAAGGTTTCAGACGAATAGTGAATTTTATTTTCAATTTGAAGATGCAATATGGCGATGTATCAGTCTTATTCCAAGTCACTCTATTTATCCACAAAACTGACCACGCTTAAATGGAATAGCGTTAGCGAACTTAACATAACGTAAGCCAGAGAGAACCGATTTTACCCGATATACGAATTTGTTAGTCTAATCAAAATATAGCATAGCAAACACAGTTGGTTGGATTATATCTAAAAGTAGTAATCCAGTCTAACTTAATTAAATCTGAATGATTTAGTTAAAGATTACTTTTAAAAGAATAAGGCTAATTCAGACAGTGAACTTTCCTCTGAGGAACAATAGTGCGAAAACTTCTTTTTTGAAATGCATTCTCAGCTACAAACCGAGATATTATCCTTAAGTACTGTCTTATTATGTCTTCTTGATGGAAGACAGTCTCGCTTTAAACGGAAAAGCTATTCTAACTGGAGATTACATCAATGTATATTTCAGGCAGATATCAAGAAAATGTGTTGATGTGTCAGAAGATGAAAATTCACGATTTCCAAAAATTTTAAACCTATTGATTTACTTCAGATATATTTTGTTCTGATTGTCACAAATTTTCCAAAGCTTTAATTCCGAACAACCGTCGGAATTCGGACTAATATTTCCGAATATTAGAATGTGTTGTCGACCAACTAAAATAAAAGTCTTGAACATATTGCACAACTATTTGTTCTATTAGGACTATTCAACCGCGTATTAGTACTGGGAAAACTGATGTTTCAGATAATAACATCGCAGAAACTGACTTCAAATCAAAGCATCTAAACTACATACAAATATTATCACGGGTACAGACTGAATTCTAGTCAAGCTATCATCATTCTTAAAACTTAATCGAATAGTCACATATATGGTAAGTTTCAGATTATATGCTCAAAAATACCTGCTACATTATCTGACATTATCATTACATTATCTCACGTATGAAGTGTTAACAGCGGTGCTAGTCCGAGTTGAATCATACCATACTTTTCATTTACCTAAGATCTACACGATTTATTAATTTTGACACCGGCTCATTTTCTAACTAGCAATATATTTTCATCTGCACCGAATAATATTATAACACATCAATGGCTTTTGAAACAATATGCGGTTTTGCAAAGTAAAGTGCAGCGACTGATTATTCTATTTATAAACGCACCCAAAATGGGGCAAAGAAAATCCGAACTTACGCCAGAATTGAATAAAAATGGGCTTTCCCTCCAAATGTGAATTCTCAGATGAATCATGCAACTCCAACCTGAAGTTGGCAAATTGATGACAATGGCAACAGGCAAAACTAATATGGGGTCTGAAGCGGTTAATCAAAGACCAGAAAAACCACTGCTCAGTTCGTTGATACTGGTATAAATGTTAAAAGTGTTATCTGCTTTATTAAAGTAACAAAATAACTTTCTGGCCCGTTATAAAAGAATATTTACAAACGGTATTATTGCAGTTAAGGTGCTTAAATGAGCCGAGTTTTTTCTATAAAAATTATAGTTTCTATAAAAATTTTCATTTATTTGGATGTGGTAACAACTAGCAGCGCATTGAAAACCGAAAATCTATTAAGAACTTTATTGTGAAACACTATTAATATTGCGTTATTTTCTCCTTTCAAATTCAGATCTTTTTATACCTATATGATGCCCACATGTAATTAGTACCACCAACTGTCTAAGATTATTTCTCATTGTAGACACAGGCTAACAATCAACAATCCATTAACACTCGTTACTCGGGACAAAGAAAGTAAGGTACTTAGAGAGAAAAAGAGAGATAGATGAAAGAGAAAAAGAGAGATAAGGAAATAGAAAATGAGAAGAAGAAAGAGGAGATAGAGAGAAGGGATTAAAATTGAGATAAAAGGGAGAGAGAAGGAGCGGAAGAGAGAGAAGAAGAGGGAGAGAAGATGAAGGAAAGAAGAGAAGGAAAGTTTTCTTTTTAGCTTTTTACTGACCACATTTGATTAGTAGTACCACTCGTAAATGTCAAAGCAAAAATTGACTTCTGGGTGCTAAAAATTGTCAATCTAAATGTAATGTTTTCATACATCTAAATTTAATTTAAAAACAACCAAAGCAACATCAAACTCTTGAGTCTTGAGACTTGCGACTCAATGTTCGTAAATAAAGTATCAAATACTTGCAAAAAATTTAAAACAAAAGTTTATAAAACTTACCGAAAACGTTTTTGCTTATTTAATTTTAAAAAATATAAATAATTATGTCGTAATGTGACGTTGTCTTACACAATCTTGTCCCAAAAATCCACAAAAATTTTATGTAAAATAAATTTCAAAACTGAAACAAAATACTTTTACATACTAATTTTTTAACGTTATAAACTTTAATAAACAATTTCAAATTTTTAAAATATTTTTCAACACATAATTGATTGATTGTAAATAAATTATAACACTTTTTTGGAAGTCCTTTTTTTTCAAATTTGCACAACAAAACAAGGTGTTAGACCTTGTAAATGGATCGTAGTTGTAAGTAGCCATCCCAATTGGATCGACAATTGAGATGGCTCCGTTACCGTGACAACATCAGAGGGATGTTACCTATTAAGTTGAACATCACTTTTATAAACTACATAGATGACCGACTCAAAGAGGATCAAAGATGAACACACCTTCCCGGTGTTTAAAAACTACATGAGCCTCACTTTAATTGCGTTGGATTAACTGATTATTTCGACCTTTAGTCGTACGTTGGCAGATGTTCACAGTCATCTGCATGTTCACAGTACAACGGGTAATAAGTGATTTGCATGAAGTCAAGTTCTGAAGAGTGGACATTGTAAAATTTTGTTCACTGAAATAATTTTAAGCTGCTCTACAGAGCGTTGATCTGAATAAGCGATCAAATTGATATGCTTTTGATATCAGCTGACTCTTCGACCATTTGTGGAGGTGCCAGTGTGTAGAGCAATGACTTTTCTACAGATCTTGGCAAAATCTCAATCACCTTCGAGTTAGCTGGATGGATTGTGTCAACTGATTTACTGTCATAAAAGATTTTCTTTATGATTCGGTGAAAGGTTTAGAAGTAACGCGCCTTACCATAACTTACCATTTAGGATGCTAGAAGACATGGCTTTACTGCTGCTCTATTAACTTATGTCATTTCTAAGTTGGGACAAGGAATGAAGCTTCATATTTTCAGACTAAAGTTTTGGCAGTTGGGAAAATATGTCAGTTTATTGTAAACTAAATCTATGATTTTAAATTAGCATTTTTATTAAGAGACAAGCATTTCAATACTTCACTTATTTTGGTCAGCACAATGGACATTACTTGTATATAAGTTCCAAGTTATAAAAATATTGAAGTGAGGTCGTTTTGTAATTTTTATAGCCGCTTTCTTAATAGTACCGTGCATGAGTCCCCAGCATGTTTTCCCACTTACTGCAGTAAGCTAATAATAGATTGTAATCAGTCACAATATATAAGACATCTCTGTTCACCTGGCTTACCTGCAATAAAACAACATCAAAGGAATTTTTAACATGGACTTCAATTCATACTTCCAAGCTTCATTTAGGTCGATGCTGTATGGGATTATGTACAGAAAAATTGCGCTTTTCGTTAAACACCTTTTCTAGAAGTTGTGATAGCTTAAACATAGAAAAAATAATCATGGTTTTTAGGATCGTTTTTTATAATGGTATGTTTGTTAAAATACTTATCAGTGAGAGTGAAATATTTATTTAACTACTTAACTGCAAGTATACGATATTAAAACGAGAAATAATAGCTGATAATCTGAGGCAAATGGGTATCTGCTGATCGACTACTGTAACCGATGAACCAAACATTCTCATATTGGCCAATATTCTTGCTTCTCATTCCGTCAACATTACTTGAAAAATTACTTTAAAAGCAGTCACAATGCAGTTTCAACCAATTTGGATTTTACAAAAATAACGCAAATCTTGATAAATTTTAAAGAGCTGTCAAAAATGAATGCTCTACAGTTGGTTCAGTTATACCACAAGATTTTGATAATATGTTGCATACGAGTATACGATAGTCTCAGATATATTGTCAATGCAGCCTTTAATAATAGAGATTGTGATATCTATCGAGATCTAGGCATGTAGTGTGTTATCAACGTGCTGTAGTAACATATCCAAGCATTGAAGCATTAGATCTTCTTCCAAGAAGCACTGAACGGCAACAGCTGCAATATATAACTGTTTCAGATCTTATCCATATATTATATATATATTATAAAAATAAATATATTTGATAATAAATATGAAGACTAATTGCTTGTTGATAAATATTTGGACGTTATGCTCCATGCAATATCTTTTGACCAGGCTGTATGGTGTTTATGGTGTTAATATTTTTAAATATATTTTAAATTTTAAATTTTCTGAATCGACAAAGCATGCAGTGATATTTAAAATTTTTGATATATTTAATAACAAAAAGTTTAAATCCATTATAAAAATTATTACAACATTTTGGTTCTGACTTTTTCGAGCTGTTTTCGGATAGTCGAAATTCTAAATTCAATATTTCTATTGCAGTTTTTAATCGAATAAAAATGGTATGAAGTCAAAACTTTAAATTTATTGCCGTTCCAAAATAGCTTTTGGAGACAGTACTTCAGATTCTACTTCAGATACAAGAAGATTCAGGTAATTTGCAGAATAATATTTGCTTATAATTTTATATATAAAAAATAGATTTAATAGATTCAAGTAATTATTAATTTGGTTCCACAATTGATTCTGTCGAGAGAAAATTGGATATCAGTAATATTTGTAAGAGTTTCAGCTTTGCAGACAATAGTCAACATTAGCCACTGACATTATTGAAAGGTTGTACTAAGTATTTAACCAATAATTTGTATAGCAAAAGTTTAGGCTGTTTCTTCTTACATAATCTCATCTCTTTTGCATTTTCTGTTGCCAGTCTTGCTGCACCACGTTCCATCCCCACTTGGAATAGGTACCATAGTTGATGGATTTGTTTGCGTCATTTATAATACATCTTTGCAATGCTGAACTATCTAGTCCTTTTGGTTGTCCATCCAAGTGTCGGGTACAATCTTTATTGCTTGTGGCTTATGGCTACAATACACAATCATCGTCTTTTAAGTCCTTCCGACAGTCATAGAATCGGTCAAAACAAAAAAGAATCTGGTCGATTTTAGATTTTGTATTTTTTTTTTATTTTTGTTCTATCTTTTAACCGACTGATATACACAAAGTGACATTCCACACCGAACCCGTGTGTTCTTTCTAAATAGTGCAAATAATCGAGTGAGTCTTTTTTGAGTAAAACATTTTATATATTCCCGATTTCATTTATTGTTAATACTTGTTTGTTTTATACCGCTTCTCAGTACCCGTACTTTATTTAGCCAAAGAGAAATTTGCCAGATAACAACGTATATAACTGCTCTAGTGTTTGCCCCACCGCAAACACCTGCGTAGGAGAAGTCCACTTTTTTAGATATATATTTTTAAAGGTTTCTGATGTTTAGTAGTTTGCTCTCGTATTCTTTGGCAGTTAACCTTATGCATTGAGAGTCATATGTAACGAAAAATTCAAATTTAGCCTTCTAAAGATAACACGCAATGTTGACACTATGAAGTCTTTAAAAAGTTCTGCAATAACTAGATCTGAGCCTGATAAGAACTATAGCATTATACCCTATTTTGAAAGTGACCACTATACACTGTGATATCACAATATTTCTACAATACTGCAATTAACTTGAGAGAATATATTGTAATTTGAACACGGGTTGGAATTATTATTTGTTCGTTATTGTTGCATTATAAATATCACACAAACTTTTTGAATACTTCAATTGTCCTGTCTGCAGTTCTATTTATTCCTTTATTTTACATTTGTTTATGTAGAATAGTTGAAATAGAAAAGAAACCATTGAAATCATAAATTTTTTTGAAAAAAATTTTAGTTTCAAATATTGTACAAACATTTTTTCCATCAAACAATCTGTCATATAACTATATACCACAAATATACTTCCAATAACACATTAGGCCTTGATTCAAAATTTTCCGTTTACTCTTCAAATATATATTCAAATCCCATGCCTTGATTACAATATCCTAATCTACTTATTTAATATTAAAATACTTTAGATTGATACAACTAATAAAAAGCGTCAGCTTTCTTACAAAATCAATATAATTGTGGCGGAGTTTGAGGAAAAAAATCATCATGTTGCCCATAGACCTTGGGATACATTTAGTCTACGTAATTGTCTCTGCGGCGGCAGTTTATTTTGTAGATGCACCGAAGGACAACATATTTTTGCTCGGTGCGTGTATGTTTTGTGTAGTGCATGGACTACTGTGTCTTGTGCGAGACATTAACAATGAGAGCGATGAAGAATGTACCAAAGTTTCAAAAATTTCTGAAACAGTTGCGGATCTTTTACCCTTAATGTGCATTTGCATTCATTTCTATAAAAAGTCGGAAACGCTTTCAGATTACGCCTATGCTCACGGATTTGCTGCAATTGTTGTCGTTTATGATCTATTTGCGACTTTCGGCAACGAAGATTATCAAGATAGTGCGACAGAATATCTAAAGGTTTTGACAATCGCAAGTTGTTGCATATCCTTATTGGTTTCCGGATTTATTGACAATAACATTTTTTATATGGCAATTGGTTTAGTTGTGCTATTATTGAAAGATGGTACAATGTTTCTATCAGCCCTATGCATACCTGGCATGAATTATGTTCAGGCTTTAAGTGATACTATTGTTATTGCAACCGCAGTTGCTGTTGCTGGTGGATATCTTGATGATTTCAACGTAGATATTAAAGGTTTAATTGGAATGGGCGGCGAAAAGAAAGACGATGGCGGCGGTGACGGTGGCGGTGACGCTAAATAGGTAAACATAAATGCCATATATTACCTTGTATTATACATTATTAACTTAACTATACATTCATTTTTTTTCTTCAAATTAGATCATTTAATAGAATAAGTCTCATTATTCTAAAGAAGAGAACAGCACGCAAACGTAAGTAATAATTTATTTGACCAGTCTCTTTGTACTTAAAAAAATACAAACACTGGGCAAAAATCAGTTCCATTATATAAATAGGAGCAGATCTTTTGTCCAACAATTTTTTTGGATTAAGAAAAATATGCGTTTCAAAGGATAAAGACTTTCTACTCAATCGAATTAGAGTTTTCAATCAAGTTTGATATTATGCGAATAATTATCGTATATATCTTATAAGGGTAACAATAAAATATCGGTAATATCTGATGGCATAGAGAGAGAAGAAAGAAGCTCATGAATACATAATTTAGAACTTTTTACACAAAATATATATATACATATATAATGTCTTAAAATTGCAGGTATACCAAGGACACCACAATTCGTGAGACATGCATAATACAGTGCACTAGTTGAATGTAACGCCCGTGATCTATATGTTACTATTACATATACATTTCTATGGAGTTTCCTTCGGCAGTGTGTTATGTGGTTGAAAATTAAATGTATGTTTTAATTTTTTATATTAATAATATTATAAAATACGTAGAGAAAATAACTGTCAGAATTAATAAAAATAATAATTACAGATGCTGTCTAATGAATATAATTCAAAAACGCAACAATTAATACGACTACAACTTTGAAGAAGTCTTCTGCAAGTAATAGAAAGTATTCCTATAATTTCCAAAAGCTTAAACTAAATTAATAAGCAATTTTTATAAGAACACCAATTAAACAATATCTCTGAATTCTACTTATTCCTGATGCAGAGAGAAGTTAACTGATCTTAAAAAGTGAATAATTTAAACTATCCGAAAAAATTATAAAATAGCTTCATTCCGTTGCCATTAAAAAAAGCAAAGCAATAAATATAATAAAAAATAATTTCTAGTTTTATTGAAAACAGATTTTAACCAAATTAATTTGAAATTTTAAGTAGTAAAATAGCTTATTATTCGAAAAATAGTGGATAATAGTCTGTTCCACAAGCTACTTGTAGTAAAACTCAAGTAAAACACAAGTAAAGTACAAACTAAGAGCGTAACACAAATAAAATGCCAAATTACGCTCTGTATACAGATTTTCATGGAACAGCTTTGTGTAAAGTCTGGTGGGAACACCAGTGCCACAAATAAACCACACCAAAATTGAAATTCAAACCAAAACAGCTGATCCACACATCACACAAATTTTACTTGAAATAAAATCTACGAGTAAAGTCTGTGTAGCTTTTTTATATTTCGACAGGAATGTTACGCTCTCTCCTCAGATGCTCTCATGTACTCGAAAATTTGCTGGTGGAACGCACTTGTGTAGACACATTATTACCCAAAGTTACTGTGAGTAGCTCGTGGAACAGACCTAATATATAATAGGTGTTGTAAAAAGAAAGACTTTGTTAAAGACTTTGTTTATTTAGGAACCAGCTTAAACACCAAAAATGACGTCAGCCTAGAGATTCAACGAAGAATTACTCTTGCCAACAAATGTTACTTCGGGCTAAGTAAGCAATTGAGAAATAAAGCCCTCTCTCGACAAACAAAAATTACGCTCTACAAGTCCCTTATCATGCCTGTCCTGCTGTATGGTGCAGAAGCTTGGACAATTACCAACAGTGATGAGAAGGCGTTAGGAGCATTCGAGAGAAAAATTCTTCGGAAGATCTATGGTCCCTTACGCGTTGGCGACGAGTATCGAATTAGATGGAACGATGAGCTGTATGAGCTATACCGCGACATTGACATAGTTAAGCGCATAAAAATTCAGCGGCTACGCTGGCTTGGTCATGTCGTGCGAATGGAAGAAAGTGCTCCGGCTAGAAAGGCATTTGATTCGATACCCGCAGGTGGAAAACGCGGTAGAGGACGTCCGCATCTTCGGTGGAAGGACCAGGTGACCAACGATTTGGGGGCGCTCGGTACTACCAACTGGCGTCAGAAAGCAACTAATCGGGCTGACTGGTGGAGGCTACTCGACGCGGCCAAGGACGACACACGTCTGTAATGGCCAACTAAGTAAGTAAGTAAGTTGTAAAAAGAAATCCATTGTATTTGCAATTTGTTCGCGAGTCAAATAGAAGTGCCCGCAAAATAAATCACTCCATAACTTTTAATGTTTTTAATTGATGAAACGAATAAAGTGTTCATAAAATTAATGAAAACAATTGAGACAATGACTCTAGTCAAACTCTGATAAAACAGTGCCCGATTTTTAATAAGATAAGTAACATTTTTTTATAAATTCAGAGCCTTTTTTCTTTTAAACAAAGTAAAGTTCAACTTTGAAAAATTATTTTGCTTCAAATTTTTTTACTGATACTTTGCCAAACACATTGAAATACTGATAAATTTACTGAGACTTTGCCAAACACATATTAAAATACATCGATTGAACAAATAATATTTATGCCTATAAATAGAACACCACCTCCAATAAAGGAAGGTAGCACACTCCAGAAAAAAACCGATTAATCGCCAGTAGAGACATTTCGACTTTATTGAAGGTACCTTAACGTGAACGATGGGGATCTATGAGTGAACTGAATAATGCCAAAATCGAGATATCCTACTAAGTTATACGAAATCGTAGAGTAAAGAAGAATGGAACGAAGTCAAAGGTAGTAAGGACAGTCCCGAAAAATGAAAAAGACGAAATAACAAAAATTAAGCTGCTGACTCAGTAATAGATTTGACTGGCTCGTAGGTGATGAAAAAGAAGACCAACCAACTAAACAAGAGGAAGAAACCCTTAAATCACCTCCTATTTTTGTAAATAAGATTGAGGAAGTGTACGCACTTATAAACTTGCTTAACGAAATTGTAAATAATAACTTTGATATAAGAGTGTATAGCCTGGTACACCAAAAGTTTACGCAAAAATCATCAAACTGCTTGAAAGTAAGAACACGGAATTCGGTAAGTTCAAACCAAATAATAAAAGAAGTTTTACGGTAGAATTGCCTTATTACCTTTTATCAATATAAGTGAAATAAAGTCAGCTCTAGAAAATTTGGAATATGAAACACCGCCAAACAAAAAAAACTCTTTCAGTGTTCTTTGTAAAGATAGAGCAAAAACCAAGCAACACAGATATCTACTACATTAAAACCCACATTTCAAACGTGAATGACCTCTATGCTCAAGATACCAACACTATGGACACACTTAGTCAGGATGTAGAAGGCAACCCAAATACATTAAGTGTCCTGGTAATCACGCATCTGCCTACTGTGAAAGCACCACCAGAACAATTGGTGTCAAATGTGTTCTTTGTGAAGGTAACCAACCTTGTAGTTAACAAGGGCGGTTTAGTGTATAAAAAACTGCAAGCATCTGAAACAAATTATATAGAAAAAAATAAAAAAAAAAAATAACCACCATGACAAATCTAAACATATTTCATACCCATAAAGCTCGTTCTATAAAGTGCCAAAGGGTTGTCACAACATACTTCAGAACTGGAATTATTTCTATCAAAACATAACGTAGACGTACTATTACTTTCAGAAATTCCCTTCACAGAAAAAAGATTTTTTAAAATTCCATCCTATTGTTTCTATCAGTTTCCGCATCCTGACGGAAAAGCTCATGGAGGTTCTGCAATATTTATTAAAAAAACAAACATTATATTCGTTATAGTCGTGTTAGTCAGACCACTTCTTATATCTGCGATATATAGCCCATCAAAACATAATGTAAATGAAGAAACCTACACAAACGTTTTTCAATATTTGGTTATCGATTTACAACTGGGAATCCCGACTAACCACAACAAAAGCAGTGAATTATACAAGACAGTAAGAATCTTACTATACTATATGACAAATCTAGTAACTTATGTTGGGAAGAACACAAAAAACTGAGAAATGAACGAGAGACTAGAAAAATATGGTATCATTTTAGATTTCCTGAACACAAACGGAAACCAAACTAAATTACTAAAGATCAAAAGATTTTTCTACAAGGATAGACGAAGCTAGACACGCAGTTCTTACATTGCCTCGACTCGTCTCAATTATCTAACTATTCTTTATGGAAAACACACTGGAAAGTAAATAATACAATAAATTATCGACCCCCACTTAAAAAAACAGACAATACTTGGACGGAATGAACGTTTGAAAAAGCTCATCTTTTCACAAGCCATCTAACGAACGTTTTTACTCAACATCACATGTCTGAAATCCATAAAGACTTCCAGAAAGCCATCACAAAATCGACTTCAAACGGTGGTTCTGAAGTTATTGAGAATAATAAAGTACATGGCCTGACTGAGAAGATACAGAGTGGTATCGTACGTGAACGAGTGGAGTTATTTCAAAACTTACAACACCAAATTCCGAAAGATATGCGATTTCTTCTGAATCAAAAAATATGAGAAACCCATGTGTTGATTTTAGTTCCAGATTTTAAATGATAATGAATGGTCAAATTTGATCAATTAAAGTCAACGGATACACTATGCTCAGACAGCCGAATTTTCTTAATTTCGTGAAAAAGAAATTAAGTTAATTTGGAAAGTATTTATACTGCACCAAATTAAGGAATTCAAATGTATTTTGTTTACTAACCGAATGTTAAAAATTACATGCTCCAAACACCATTTTCATCTGGGAAATTTTAAAATTTGATTATTGTAACTATATAGGATGACATTCAGTAGTTTTATTAGCTTTAGTGGATGTCAGGTAAGTGAATTATTATTTTTCACTCTCTTTCAAATTAGTAACTGTTACAGTTTTTTCTCTATATTCAAATTTAGAAATTTGTACTTCTTTCAAAATATTTTCCCGGTTTTATTAAACTCAGCTGTTACTGACATTTATTCAAAAAAATGTCACTTTTTCGTTATCTCAACTTATCTTTTGGTTAAAATTTATCTTTTGCATAGTGACATTTGAAATTTTTCTTAATTTCAGCCTTCGTTTCAACGAAATTTAGACCATTTTCCTTAATTTCGTTCTAACTTTAAAACTGAATTTTGTATGGAAAAAACAACTTAATTTCGCTGAAACGAATATGAAATTAAGATTTTTGCGAAATTGAGGTGTGTCTGAACATAATATAAACTTCAACCTTTGTTGTGGTTTTGTTAGCTTTAACTGGCTTTCCAGTTCAGTATCAATATTCTTAGATTAAAATTTTGCAAGCCAGATGTCAATACATCTACTCTACAAGTTCGGACAATTTTTTTCTTGCTTCAACAGCATTTTTATCTTTTCGATAGCAAAAATGTAAAATATGCCAAAAAGATGCTTTTTACTTTCCATATTTGAAAAGATACCATTAAAAACCGGAAGTCCTTGCTATATTAGCTATCAATACATATATATAATTATTATGCAGTTTATGGGAGAGTATGGTTGTGAAAGAATGTAATCCAGTCCTCTGTTGGGAAGAAACGAAACTACTTTCAGAACAAACCACTAGTACTTAGGTATTTGCTTGCATTGTTAATCATTGTCTTTCCTACAGAAGTAGAAAAATTATAAATGTTGGAAAAGTTTTTTAACTAGAATTGAAAATGTATTAGATTTTGACTATAATTATGATGACCAGAATATATACATAAGTAATAACTAATAGTTCCATAGAAGACACAGCAGTAAACAAAACTTTACTATAAGTCCTATATTTGGTGTATTATTCGTCGGCTTGTTTCCTGATCTATCTACGAAAGTTAGTTACATTTCGATTTCTCTCTTGTCTTGTTAGTGGCTAACACTATCTTATAAGAAGGCTTATAAATCGATTTTCAATATATTGGTGAAATTCGTTTTTTTTCTAATAATAGCGAAATGCTATCTAAAGCACTAAATTTCTAAACTACATAAATTTCTACAACAAAATTTCAGTTTAATTTTAAACTATTTAATCTTCGACACAAATAAACGTCTAGTATTGATAATTGTTTGAAAGTTCTATCCTTTATATAATGACAAATACTTTAGATTCTTAATTCTTTACGGATTTTATAATTTCTTACATACCATGAAACCAAGGAAACAACATCTTGGCAACTCTAAAGATTAGAATAGTCGTTACTTTATTTAGTAAAGTAACTACTCAACCATTAATAAAGGTCAGTCTTTCACTTGCTTTTAAATTAATGTTTTGTTGTGAATACTTAATTTTGTGTCCCATAAATGTCTTAATATACACATAAATATTCAAGCTTCTTAATAATCAACTCCATTTTGTTTTTCTCAATCTTTCTATTTTATTTATAGTTGACTCTCAAATATCCCAGCTCATTCTTCAAAGCCAATAAGAGAGAAATGTGTTGAATTGAAGACAGAATTCTCAAATGAAAAGAAAACCAACTTAACCCAAGTATTTGGTGAGCACAGCTTAAGAAATTACAGTGTCTTTGTCGGTTCCATAAGATTTTGTAGAATTCATAAAACTTTCAGTTTCGTACTTATATTTTCGGATTAATTTCAATAACTCTCAGAACAGTTTTCAGTACCTATGGTGATAAAAGTGTCAGAAATTTCGTAATCTGCCAATTTACATAAAAATTTGGAATTTAAGGTGCTCAATTTAAAACCTGACTCTACATCGCTTTTCCCGGCACAGCAGTTTGACAGCGGATAATAGTAGAATCAACTATTTTGAATAATTTTTTCACTGTGTTGAAATGTTATATGTCGATTTAGTTTATTTCTCGACACATCAATGATAAGATTTACAAAGTGTTTACATTGATTACAATAATAAAAACCACACACGCCATCTATCGCCAACTAGTATAAACAATTTTTGATTTTGACTATGATTACAAAAGCGACTGGTATTTGTTATTAGTGATTTTCATATAAAAACTAAGCCTGATTGTCATGTTCCGTATTGGGAAATATTTAGTACATATGACCTCATGAAAGTCCACTATCAAACGAGCGTACCGAAAAATCATAAATAAAATATCAAAAATTTGTTTGCTGTTTAAAAACACCATTTTTATTATTAACTAATAATTAAAAAAATTATTTACAGATTCTTCGTTCTTACTAATATCCGAAAAGGTTAATTATTTTAATCATTTGAATCAAGTGCCACCACAACCATGCATACGTCACCCTGCAGTTGATTCATTACATATACCCAACAGTGGCAAGACAGCAGTTACGATAAATAGTGGAACTATGAAAGAAAAAGTTTTTAAACCTTCGAAAAATTCCAATCCAACAGAAATTAATATAACCAGGCAGGTTCAACAATTTTACCCAACGATGAAAGAATTTAACTGCAACCATGAAAAAGTGTTTAATTCCATCAAACATTTACGATTCGAACAAATTAAGGAAAGAAAATATCGAACCCAAAGCAGAATTATTAGAAGATAACGATATATCACCTATCAAGTTAAACAATAATCTTGGCAGAAGAAAGTGTTGGTTGAAATGCGTTCTCGAGGACGCTCAGTACGAAAAGGTAGAGAGATTCGAAGATATTGTAGTTACAAGTGAAGAGTATCGTACGGCTATGACTGATGAAGAACATCGCACAGCTTTAACTGATTTCGATCAACTTTTCGGGTTTGGAACAGGGTTAGAATAGTAATGGAAGAATTTTGTACTTCTTCATAAAGTTCTGATGAGCTTTTTAGGTTCAAAAAGTAGGGAGATAAGTGATGCTTTTTCAATTATTTCAGTATATAATATGTGCAAGCTAAATTATTTATTTTAAATATTACATCGAAGCTCAAGCAAAATTTATTAGTTATTAAATAATACACATGTACAATAATAAATTTATACAGTCACATCATAATACAGTTTTTTAACCAGCTTTTTTTTTGATAGAAGACTTGGGTCTACATTCAATAATCAAAAAGATCATTTGATCAACATGTTTATGGAATCAATTGTTTCAAAAACAAGCATAAATAAAGCACACTTGTGATTGAGATTTTGATAAAGATTCAATTTGGATCTACTGCTTGGATCTGGATATAAGGTGCAAGAAACATTATTCATATTTCGTTTACGGATCATCTTAAATATTGCGAGAATATTTTGACAATAACTCGGCTATTACTTCTTGGATGTTGTTTGCATAAACATGATTCTTTGCGTAACCCCACAAAAATACTTATCTCATGAACTCGGTGTCCAATTCCCATCAGCAAAACTTAAAATTATATATACAGAACGAGCAATTTATATCACACCTTTGTTATTTTTAAAGAAGCCCGATAGTCTTTCTGTGAATGCATTGATCATTCGACAGTCTTTGGCTATATAACATTAGATGCCTCAAATAACAGTGTGTCACTTAAACAGTATTACTAATACAGTATTATAATACTATATCAACCGGCAAAGTAAAGCTGCCGAGTCTACTATCCAGAAGCTACAAGTTGCTCAAAGTTAGGCTCAGCGAAGACTCTTCAAAGTGCCATGGTACATCCGCACGAATGAGATGCTTAAAGGGCTTAGAATAGATCCGGTCAAAAAATAGAAAAGGGACAGCGCCCTGAAGCTACATGCGAAAACCTACAGGCTACCTCACTTACCACTATCTAATCTCAGAGTATTCACTAATCGCACGGGGCGGTACGTAGATCTTAGATCAGTCATTGAATAATCACGAAGCATATGAGGAACACAGAAATCAATCAGTGAAATGAGTGGGACTCTGCAGAAACCCCCCAGCTATCAAAGAATAAAAGTGCCCAGATACACTAATTTGGAAAAGGCTCAACATCAACATCTAGTATTTTATATAAGCTTATAAAATTATAAAAAATTAATTAAGAAACATTAAATTCAAATAAGAAAGACACATCCAAAATAACATTCACACCATCCTTTAAACATGTGTTATATAATATATAATAAATAAAACATATATAATGACATTTTTAATATCTGACATAAATTCTTCTTATGGTAATTTTTCTAATTTTATTTTGCATTTCCATGATAAAAACAATATTTAGCTAATAGCAGGAGTACTACATAATATCAAAAACTTTTATTTTCAAGATATTGATTTTTTGACACATAATACTACTCATCATCTGTGATCTTTAGAAATGTGCAATAAGGACAATAAAATATATATGTATATATATTAGTTCCCGTAGGTCCTATGAGAAGCAAAGGGCCAGAATCAGATTCTTCCATTCCGTTCTATTGAAAGCAACCGCCTTCACTTCCTCTCACGTTTTGCCAATCCAAACAGCTTCAAGACCAAGCCTGCGAAATGTAGCCTGCCAGCCTTTCTCTTTGTCATTTAGTGTTTGTGATGAATTATTTGCACCAGATCATTTTGTTTCCGAACAACGTAGTGTCGGTAATAACTGAACGAAAGGATATTACCAGTGCAATTGAATCATGAGATCACCTTCAAGGTTTCCAATTGAATTACTCAATGGTGGTAATGACTAAGGTATGGGCACACTATAAGTTGATGGCTTCACACTGCATAATAATTTATATAACTTTTAAAAATACTAAAAGTCGATCATCGGTGGTAGTCAGAGATGGTTTGTATATCTTTATGCGGATATAGACATCGTCACAATTCTGGTTGTAAGCATCTTTAAAACAAATAACAATATACATATATTAAATACTCTCATCAGCACTTCAAAATTACTTGTTTCAGTTTTTATTTTTAATAAATATTTTAAAATATTATTGACAAAGTGAAAAATCTAAAACTTTTCAAAAATTATTAAAAAAATTTTCAGTTTGTTAAGCCTAACCTCGTCCTGTCGCTTAATTCTGAATTTAATCAATTTTAATTATCGACATTGGATAGAAGTTAGGTTTTTATAAATTTTTCGTAATTCCGACAATATTAATGGAACGTATAATCAATGGCAATAAAAAGAAGCGCAATGGCACGTACAGAGGAACATCCAAGGAAACACAGCCGAATCCTATAGTAAAGTTATGCAAAATCCGAGAGGAACTGAAAAAGACGCAAAAATGTGTTAAAGAATATATCGACAGTATGTGGAAAATGACTAATATTTATTATGAAACAAACATTAGGAAAAGGAAAGAACCTGATTATATGCCCCCATCTTCATCTACAATAACTCTGAACTCCAAAGGCACTTCTCAAGTAAATATTATGAATCCCTTACATGTTTTTCAATTTCCCAGTAATCAAGAATCTCACTCAACATCTCAGTGTTCGTCTATCTTAAATGTGCCAGTTGGCTTGTATGAATTTGATAAAACTTTTCAAGAAAAATGCCACTATTTCAATGTTTCATTATCTGATGATTTGAGTAATGAAACTAGGAAATTGCCTCGAAGATCAGTGGAAGAAAGAAACAAAAAGGGTACTGAAAAACATTTGTTGAAATCTAACAGTAGAACGAATATCACTCAACATCTGCTTAGAAAATCTAATGAGATATATTCCTTCTTTGAAGAAGAAGAAGAAGAAGTTGCACCTAAAGTTAATTTAAACCGCAGGTTAGCAGATAAAGAGAGTATCCAATATTTGTTAAGAGGTTGCAATGACTCAGGTTATAACAAACAATTATTTATCGATTCTGATAATATAACATCCTTATTTGCTGACATTACACAAGAAAAAACTTGTAAGTCCTCATTGAGACAAAATACTAGCTCAGAAGAACAAGAAAAAATGTTTATTACGGTTGATAAGGTAGATTCACTTTTTGAAGAGCTTAAGCCGGAAGAAATATTTATGTCGACTCCGGATACAGCAAATGAAAAGACAAATTTCTGCTTTAGAGCACTGAATAGTTCAAATAATGATAACAATAGCTGCACAAAACCACTATATCCTTTGAGGGAAAAGGTTATTGAATACAGAAATCAAAGACAATCATTCAAACCCTTGAGCAGTCATAGAAAGAGATGTAAATCAACATGGAATTCCGATTTTCTACATGATGACGCAGAAAGCACAGCAAAAAGGCAGTTGTTGATCAATCAGTATAATTTCTCAACTGGCTGCTCTCTAGAGTATTCTGATGAAGAATAACCTTATAATTTACGTAAAACGTATTAGAAATTTTTAGTGTGTACACTTATCATAACTTCCATCTCCTTTGTTTCACTCAACTGAAATTTGCTTTATTTCTTTCGAATCGTTTTATATCAGACATGTACTTATATACCATACAGATCAGAATTTATATTCAACCTACGTTTAAAACTATATTTTAAATAAACCAAATTTATGTATATGAATTGCAAAGACAAATCAAATATTCAATTTTATACCTGTTATTGCAGGATAACCTACAGCTTTTTGTCATAAACAGAGTGCTTTAAATAGATTGAAATAATTTTTTTGCAAAGAGGTAGTATCAACTTCAAAGAAAATGTTCTCACCAACTTTGAAACACTTCAGGTACTGATCACTAAAAATGTACCATGCTTTCATATTTCTAGGTGAAATACGTATGAAACACTAACTAACAGCGCAATATATACTCCATGAGAGGTAATCGTTTGAAAATAGTGAAATAAACCATTAAGACTATGACAGCTCAACGCTCTAACAATCTACGTAAAACGTGGGATTATTATATGCCAAAACTACAAATGGCAAAAACTCAGCTACCTTAGAATCTACTAGCTACCATCCCATATAGATCATACAAGGACGAGTCCCGTGCCAACCCATGAATTGTTACAATACATATATTTTAGGTTCGGAAATCGGTTCCAAAACACCAGAACAAAAACAATTTCAGCTACAACAATTATTCAACACCGTCATGTCAACATGGCTAAAACTTGGGAAAACAAACAAAATCTAAGTCTAATCCAGTGTATTGAAATTAATTCTGAATTAACTGGTATACATTTAGGAGAACCATTTTTCTAAGACCACTCAAGATTTCTCTGGCAAACTGACCACAGGATTTGAAGGTGAAGACAATATCGAATATATATTAACTCTCATTAGATTCCTACTGTCTACAAAGGAGACATCAAACCAACATATGATGACAGCAATTCACAGAATAAAAACATCTAATCGCTCAAGAAAAGCAAAATCAAAACAATTTAAAAAAAAAAGAGAAATATATACAGAGCACACAGAGTAATAAGCTACGTCGAAAACATGGGGTGCATCGATAAAAGTATAATATTTACCAAAACGAAAGACAAATAGGACATGCAATACAGTACACAAACGAGAAACTAGAAACGAGACCACCACTGGTCCGCAAATAGAAAGAGAGAAGAGAAGTTACAGCACATTATTAACGAGGCATTGGCTAATCAAAAAGAGAAACGGATGGAGTCCCTTTGGATCGTCTACCAGCTGTGGTACCGAGTCCGAAAGAATCAGGCCAAATAGAATAAAATTTATTTCACACAAAAAATAAGCTCCCCTCAAAATTTAATAACGACGTGTACAGACACGTTCCGAAAAGAAAGAGTTCTACAATCTGTTGCATCCATCATTTTTTTTCTTCAAGCTCTTAAAATTTTGTTAGATCTATGATGTCTGCAATTAATATTATCTTTTCAATTATCCAAATCTTCTCTTTTTGAGTATATAGTTATGTCAAATCGTTTTTTCTTTCTTTGCATTATATCCAGTTCCGAGAAAATATAAGCTTTGAATATTTTGAATTGCGTTTCTTCCTCGGACCTGTGCGCTCAGGGTAAACAGCAGCAACAAAGTATTTCGCTTGGTACATATTTTAGTACTTGCTTGTCTTTTAGTGAATGAGAGGAAAATA